AGAGGAATTGATAGGCCGAAAAATATTTAATAGTGTGTTTTTTATACACTTAATTTATTCACACGTTTATATTTTTTGACTTATTTATTATTTAAATGAATTTACTTGCTTTGATGTTTAATGTGTTATTTTCAGTATTTTGGAGTATTTGACGGAATTTGCATGATTAATTATCGGAATTAGCCAAATGATACATTAATTAGGCCCACTCTCATTTTAATGGGCTTGGAGCAATTTGGAGCTGATCACATTTTGGCTAAAAGGAAAAAAAGAGCCGCAGCACTTTAATGGAGAAAGCAAATTATTTGAAGGGCCAGTTTGTGATTGGTTGGCACATAAAGGTTGTTTATGATTTAATTGTGAGGAGCCGTGAGGGGCGAGAGATTAGCACCGGCTGAAAGACTTATTTACGGGACGAGAATTATTTTCCTGGAAAACACACGGACAGAGAGCAGTATCCACACTTACACACGGGAGGGAAGAAGGCTACGCACGCGGAGGGAAGCCGCATCTGTACACAAGGTAGATAGTTACACTCTCTTTTATCCTTTATTTATTTTTATTAGTATGTTAGACTAGTATTTTTATCTAGTTTTAGGGGATATTTGAACCTTAATTTCGATTTGTCTATGAATTGAATGATCTATTTCTTATTGTTGATTAATCGAGACGTCGTATTTATTTTTGTTGATGAGTTGATTCATGCTATCTATGTTTAATGTTAATGAATTACGAGTATTTGATTTAGTTTGGCCAGCTACGTTGAATGTTCATAGTTTAATTGTTAGATTCGGGACTTTAATCCGTAATTGTTATTGTCTCGTTTCGTTAGTAGTAAACTAGGGGTCGTGCATCTCTAGGGTAGCGTGAGCATAAATTAAATGGTCCGAACTTTTGTGTCCGTTGCTTAGACTCATCTATTTTCCTAGGAATTAATGCTGCTAGTGTATTAAATCTAGAGAGCTTATTCTAGGTTGTCCACTAGTTAGGTTTAGTCGAAGAGCCTATTTTGATTAAATATTCGGCAAGGGAAAATCCGGTTAACAGAGCTTGTTGTTAGCTAGGGTTGGTAATTCATTAGCGATTTAAAGAAGGCGTCGAAATTAATTAACGGTATATTTAGATTGGGTGATAACTGAAACGAAAACTGGATTTCTCTTATTTTATTTGATTTTTATTTTATTTAGTTATTTTAGCTTTATAAAATAAATCCCCCCACCTTTATTTGCTTTCTTAGTTTTTAATTCAATTAATACGAGAATTATCACAATTTAACTCTTGCTCCTCGTGGGATCGACCCTTACTCGCCACTACTACTAGTTAGTAGAGATTAATTGAGGAAAAGATTATAAATTTAAATTTTCCGCGTCGCGACGCGCGGTCAGGAATGCATGACCCTTGTGGCAATGGAGCAGCTTACTGAGGAAGCGTATATGCGAGAGTACACGAGGAGGTCATTGCAGGGCTGGGCCCATGACAAGAAGGGATGTCATACCAACCAAGTTCAATGAAGCTGCCCCGATCCCAATGGGACGAGAGATATGATCTGTCAGACGCCCGCCGATGCTCGGGGCCAGACTACTATTCACAATGACTCGTCTAGTCACTGTGCCCTGTACGTTTGTACTTTTTCCCTTCTCTTTATTTTCCCTATACAACAAAAATATATTTGTTGTAGCAAAATATATATCACTTGTGAGTTGTCCCACATTGTTTATACATGGAAAATAGACCCACCTTATAAGTCTAATGGGCTACTCCTTCTTCCATCAATTGGTTTTGGAATGGAACAACACTTGAGGTTCATCTGGGTTTTCCTTTCCTATGGTGCCCTTCATTTGCCTGGAACCGCACCTGTTTTCCCCTCGTTTCTTACATGGTATCAGAGCCGGTTCTACTGTGCGATGACATACCCGTTTCCAAACTGTTTCTAGTAGAGCTTGAGCCCACGTACCCATTTATGGGAGCCTGTTTGTAGCAGGGGTTGGGGCACCCAGCTCTGTAGCCTCTGTATATGAGCTTGAGCTTCTTATTAAGAACTCATAAGTGAGGAGACTTGTTAGAATATCATTTTTGAGTTGTCCCACATCGTTTATACATAAAAGATAGACCCACCTTCTAGGTCTAATGAACTACTTCTCCTTCCACCAATTAGTTTTAGGATGGAACCCCACTTGGACTTCATTTGGACATTCCCTGCTTATGGTGCGCTAACCCACTTGAACTTCATCTAGGTTTTTCCTACTTATAGTATACTTCATTTGCGTGGAACCGCACCCGTTACCCCGTTTCTTACATTGCCTTCGTATGTGAATTTGTAATGGTATTCTAATTATATATTTATCTAACGAAAAGAATATTCAAAATTGATCCGATTAGACTCGAATTATGTGTGCATCTCCCAATATAAAATGAACAAACTAATTTGGTTTAGGTGACAGAAAAATAAAAGTTATATTTAATAGTTTATCTATTTCTTGCAACAAACGTTATGGTCATGTGTTTTGAAGGCCAAAATGGACATGGGACGTTTGAATTACCCGATTTTTGGCATCATGTTTTAGAAAAATAATGATCCGNTTTTTTTAAATTAAAATATTTTTCAAATGATTTGACTATTGTTAGATAAATAATATGACGCATGTATACTCGTAGTTTAAATTATGTTATATTATGAAAAAATAACTTTTTTTTTTGCATTTTATTTAAATAAATCAATGAAAAGTTTGATTTATACTGTTTATAAGATTTACATAAGGTGGTGAAAATGCAAGCGACGGAAGTTTAAATTACAAATCCACCATAAAAAAAGAATATAATCCAAAATTTGGAATTGTGATTTGTGCATATTAACAAGTATTTGCATGAATCAACATGACAGAAATTAAAGAAAAAAAAAAATCATAATTTTATGCACAAGAACATTTTGCTATCACCGAACCAATTATCTGGAGATTGTGACCATCCAAACATCATATTATGGGAATTCTGAATCAAATTATGAGTATTAGATTTCCTTTTTCACCTCTTATTTCACTTGCTCAAATCATACACATGTAATGAGATTTTAATTAAGTTACAACCGTGCCTATTTATTATTATAATAATCGAACAAAAAACAATCTAATTTCACCAAGATATAACTGATTTTTCTAAGCGAAACTTTGCCAACCAACAAGATAGATTGGGAAAATAAAATAATGTTACATAAATTTGGTTATGAAAATAATTTAACTGTTCGCTTACATACATACTCACAATGTATTATGTTGGAATTGATATGCAACAGATTTTGGTACGTGTTCAAAGTGCTAGAAATTATATGAGATTGAGTTATTTATTACCATAAAATTACACAAAAATATTACGTGACAGTGCTAGTTGCTTGATCAAATAATTTACAAATGATGTTAATATTATGATGGCTATTAATTTTATCCACTAGCCTCCCAGCCATCTATATCTATATTAGCTAAGTTGGTAAAATCACGCCTTTTTCGAGATTGCAAAGTGGTTAATGATTTTTTTTTAGCAATGATTAAGACAACCACATTGCAATATCTCAAATCAGTTACTAATTAAAGCATATATTTTACATGAATCAGCCATAGTTACACTAACCATTTATGGAATCCGAATTCAATAACACTTGATTTATTAATGAAATCTAGCAACTCTAGAATATTCACTCATTTGACCTTTAATTTATTTTTTTAATTAATAACTCATTCTCTATTTATTTTTAATATATAAAAGTTATTAAAAAAAAATGGTGCCAAGTCCTATTTTTGTCATTTTAGCTCATAAAAAAGTCCTTTTCAGCAACAAAATCTAGAGAGAGGGAGTGAAAAATGGACATCACGCAATATTATATTTTTGGCCTCTATAGAAAGCTTAAAACACGCAGTTATGGCCAAATTTATGTTGACAATCTTATGGACATGCCTCGATCATAAACGCCCCCTTTTACAAAAGCCCTTTTTCTTCTTAGGTTCACATTTTCCCATGTAACTCAAAGCC